AAAAATGCAAGTAGAAAAATAGGGACCACCTTTGGTGGGAAGATAACAGCGTTCCGTGCGCCTTAACGTTTAGTCATGCCCGCCACATGACCACGGAGACGTCTTTGGACAGCGCTGGCTCTTCGGCTTTGAAATGGAGATGAGCACCAGCCCCTAGAGTTGGGAACGACTAGCACATATGTGCGAGGGGAACCTTTACCTTTACCTTACTACACAATAATGAAGGTTGAGGTTACACAATCTGCAGAATCAACATATCTCTAAGGGTGATACAGAATCACCGATTTTCACTTGAAGAAAATCTTTGCCAGGATGGTCCTTAACAATTTGAGACCAAATCCACCAGGATTTCTGTACTTCAGAGCAACATCATGTTTTCATGGCAATGATCCTTTTTTATCTTTGAGGGGCATGCAAGGGGGTACATTACAAATAGCAGGTAGAAGCAGGGGTGGGATTCTACCGGTTCAGACCGGTTCGGGCAAACCGGTAGCTCCGATGATCAGCTGGGAGCGAACCAGTTCACTCCGACGATCAAGTGGGCCCACCCACCCTCCCCTGCGTTTTACTGACCTATAACTTCACAGCTGATTCAAGCGGCAGAGCGAATTGCCGCACCTCGGCTGTGCTACTCCCCAGCAGTAACACGAAGGTAAGTTTTTGTAAAACTGTGCACACATGTGCAGTGCACACGCAAAGCGCGCAATCACCAAACCAGTTGTTAAACCAGCAGGATCCCACCACTGGGTAGAAGGAAAGTAAAAGTTCATTCTGATTCTATTTTTGGTTACGCAGAATTATAGTGAAATACACAAATCTGCAGAGCTGTTCCTCTCACTTTCAAGCTTGCATATGGGTTTCCCAGAAGCAACTAGTGGCCAGAACACAGAACATGATGGAGCTTTGGCCCAATTTCTTTGTTACATTTCTATCCCATCCCCCTCCTCCCATTCGATCTCCATCAAAGGGTTTTTCCTCTGTTCTTCATCTTTCCCTGCTAAAGAGATGCATAAGACATGTGATATGAAAGAAGCAAGTAGGTTCTTCCCGAATGGACATGCAGTCCAACTTGAAGTATGACTTCAAAGGAATTTATTTGCTTCTTTTAACAAGCTTTTCACTTCTTCTTACTACCTGAACAAAAGTGTATGATAATATTTCATTTTAGCTGTACAGGTGAATGAGTCTAATTTTGGTTTCATAGGCCTTCCACAAACACTGTAAACAACCTGCCTAAATGCTTTTTCAAAAAGCAAAGCTTAGATAAGGGTGGGTGATGATTCTGTGTTTGACAAGAACTTGCTGCAGACAGTGGTTATTATGGAAATTATTACCATCAAAGCTTAATGGAAATCTGTTAAGAATATTATGCTAATCTCTAAAGTGCATTAAGCACACCATTACACTAGTCTAAGAAAAAGACATTACAAATGATGTCATCCATTCCTACTACAAAGTTAAAATCAAATTCTCTCCAGCAATGTAAAAGAAATGAATTGTTTTGTCTATAATCATACCAATACAGTCAACAAGAGTAATAAATCAGACAGGGATTAATAATAAGCATTTATTGCATGATTATTCCAACTTGCTTCCAAGGAGACTAAAACATTATTGCGACAATAAAATAAGTTTGGCAAACCAATACCACATCTGTCTAACTCATTCTTCTTCAGATCTGAGCTGAGTTTTTCTACCGTGTTTCCCTGAAAATAAGACCTCCCTGGATAATAAGCCCTCCCCTGAAAATAAACCCTCCCCCAAAAATAAGCCCTCCCTGAAAATATTTAAACACATGCACAGCCGTTCCCCACCATTTCCTCTGGTTAGGGTTAGGGAGACAGAGCTGGAAATCAGGTAAGACGGCAAAAGGAGCCCCATCTTGCTCCACACACCCCAAAATAATAAGACCTCCTCAAAAATAAGGCCAAGTGCTTATTTCAGGGTTCAAAAAAATATAAGACAAGGTCTTATTTTTGGGGAAACACGGTAAATAAACCAGAAAAACTCCATTCTCAAGGGACAATGGCAGAAGAAAAAGCAGACCAAATACTATACCAAATCCCATAATCTGGTGCCTTCCAGAAAAATAACACTGCATTTGTTTAATCTACCGTTTTTTGACTACTCTACATCTGGCAAGTTAATCCAACACATTAAGAAACCACATGATGATTTGGGATGCTGTTTGCGCCAAGCCACTGAATCAGATTACTGGTCCATCAAACCAGTATTGCAGACACCTGGGCAATAGACTGTAGTTATAATTTTTCCTTCTATCTTGAGATGCTGAGGGTTGCATTTCAACATTTGTCTATCCAATGTTTGTTCTTTTGCCCTGCTGATAATAAAGTCTATCATATCTGCAAACCAGATTGGAGAATGCTGTTCTGTTTACCATTGATACCAGAAGTCTCCAATGTTTTTGTTTAACAGCCAGCTCTCAGGAACTGTCTCTCATGACTAAAATAAAACAACTGCAATCTTCCACTTCATACCACTGGTTTCTGAAGCAAATGTAAGACATCTATTAGTTTAAAGGTAGAGCCTAGCAATCTGCAGTATTAAAATCTAAAGCAAGCAAGAATGCTTCAGTTGTAGCATGGGGTATCCTTGCTGTACCTGTAAGCAGGTCCTTCTAGGTTTAGGAAAATACACGTTGGAATTCAGGAGACAACAACAGGGAATGACATGTGATTGCATTCTGCATGCCTCTTTGAACACACACACACACACACACGCCCAGAAAAGGGTGTGGCTTCTTTGAGGAGTTGTCAACACTTTGCCAGCACGTTTTAGATCCAAACACCACACACACTATTTAAAAGTCAGGGCAATGCTTTAGATTGAGTCTCCGAAAGTTTCTTCATAGCATAGGACTTGTATGAATAGAATAGAATAACAGAGTTGGAAGGGACCTTGGAGGTCTTCTAGTCCAACCCCCTGCTTAGGGAGGAAACCCTACACCACTTCAGACAAATGGTTATCCAACATCTTCTTTAAAACTTCCAGTGTTGGAGCATTCACAACTTCTGGAGGCGAGTTGTTCCACTGATTAATTGTTCTATGCAACAGTTCAAAGCCTAGGTGCCTCTTTTCAAGGTGCAGCCACTTTATTAGAGAAAGGCACTTCATATATACTCCAAGACAGAATGTGAAAGCACAGCCCAACTCTACTAGCTAATAAACAAAATTCTGCTACCACATCTGCCAACCATGGTGATCCTGTCTTCCCCAGTGCTGTTGTAACTTCAAATGAATGGTTGTAAGTTGAGGGTACTACAAATTATAACTGAAGACATGTTTCAGGGAGAGAAAACAAATAAGAGGTAGTTTGGTTCTTCCAGCAGCCGAGCTTAAATAACAAGCCGTCAGAGCCCCACCAAACCTAAAACATACAAAACTTTCCAAAAAGTAAACAGCCTCCTCAATAGCTCTATTTATTCACCAGTCCCAAGGACAATATTTAAAAGAAACTCACTTTTTCACACTTCTAGCCACCTCTTCCAAAAGAACCTTAATATTAACCTATGGGAAAGCAACTCACAGCAATCAGTAGCTGACCTTGGCTGATTTGATCCAATTAATCCTTGGATAGGACACCACCAGGAAATCCTTCAGCTGTTAAGAAGACTGGAAAATCAAGCACACACCTTCGGAGAAGGTAAATGACAAACTATTTCCATGCTGTTGCCAAGAAAACTACCTTGATGCCTACCTATAATTATCACAAGTTCGGGTCAAATCAGGGCACACAAGCAAGGAAACAATTTCCTCTATTTATGAAAGAATGCCGCAGCATGAGGAAGAAATGCAAGACTGAGCAATCCTTTCAGGGACAGAAAGTTCAGGTGCAAGTTTTGTCCCTCAATATTTTGTGGGCGGCGGAGAAACAACAACCAAGAGAAGGAAGGTTACCCGTGGAGAATAAAATGAGGTGAAAAAGAGGCCCCAAAAGGAACATTTTCCTCCCAAGGAATCCCTGGAACTTGCTGCTGCTCAGCCTCCATTCCTTCCAGTTGGCAAAGACATTCAGGATTTGGGGAGGGTGGGGGGGAGGTGTCTTCCTTTCCAGGGCGGGGGCATAGGAGAAGATCACCGCACCGGATTAGGGAGTGTGCCAAACAGGAGCCAGGGAAGGTGATTGGCTAGCTTGTCCATCAGAAAGGTCAGCAGTTCGGCGGTTCGAATCCCTAGTATAGGTCTCTTGCGTGAGCAAGGGATTGGACCAGATCAGCGGTCACCAACCGGTGGTCCGTAAGACCATTTTGGTGGCCCGCAGAAAAACATTATTTGCATTTTTTTATATTGCACTAAATACTATTTCTCTTTTTTTTTAAAAAATTCTTATTCGTGGTCCGCGGGATTTCAAATTATGAATTTAGTGGTCCCTGAGGTCCGAAAGGTTGCCGACCCCCACCCCCCCACTCCGACTAGATGACCTCCAAGGTCCAACTCTTGTTACTGTTCCTGAAGCTGAGAAACTTCAAAGGATCCGAAGTGGCAGCTGGGAATAAGCCCCTGGGTTGATGGGGGGGTGGGGGGGGGTGAAAGGTGACCAAAACGTCCAAGGAACTTCCAAAAAAAAAAAAGGTTATTGCAATTTCTTGAAGGGGGGAGGGGCGGAGGTGGGTTGGGGAGCGGGGGGGGGGCTGCTTTCCAAAAATCCCAGTGGAGGGCGGGGGACAACTCTCTCCAAGCAGGCAACAAAAAAAGGGGGGGGGAGAGTGGGTCAAGTTTTGAGCAAAAAGGGGACGCTGAGGAGATCCGAGACAAGACGGGACGGAGAGGGAAGGAAGTCCTTTCTCCATCGGGGAATGGGGGGGAGAGGATGGCCGAGGCCCAAGCGAAGGCGAAGGGAAGCGAAGCTGGAAGAGAGTCGTTGTGCGGGGAAGGGGCTCCCGCGCTTCTCCGTGGGCCACGAGGAGGAGGAGGAGGAAGAGGCGGGCGACAAGGGCGGGCGTGGGGATGGCGGGACGGCAGCAGGCTTTGTTCCTTACCCTGCACGGAATTCAGACCAAACTTTCATCCACGCTGCCAAGCCGGCGATGCCCTCGCTCACCTCCCTTTCTTCCACCGTCGCGATGCCCCGGGAATCCCTTCGTTACCGCAGCTTCGCCCGGATTGCGCCACCGGCTTTTTTTCCGCTTTTCGTTTTCAACGCCGGACTCCCAAAGCCTCGGCGGGGCCGGCAGCAGCAGCAGCAGCAGCAGGTGCTCCGGCCTCCAGGCAACCCCCCCTCCCCCCCCCGCCCGCCTGCCTGCCTTGCCCGCCTTGCCCGCCTGCCTGAACGCCTCAGCCAAGGCCGGTGACGAGAAACCCTGCGCAGCCGCCGCTGCCGTCACCGCTCTCGCCTTCCTTCAATCGCCGGCGTCGGCGGCCTCCGAAGCGCGCAAAGGGGCCGGCCTCCGAAGCCGCTCAGCTCCGCCTGTTTCCATCTTGATGGGCAAGGCTTTTTTTCGAGCCGGGAGCCGTCCGGGAGTCCCCGGCGGGGGAAAGGACGGAGGAGAGACGCTTCTTTTGGGCCCGCCGGCCGTCTGTGAGGCAGGGCGGACGGGCTTCGTTTTGCCTGCGCTCCCCTCAGGAGGAGGGCGCGGAGGAAGGAAGGATGAATCGTCGCGATTCGGGCCGAACTCTCCGCGGGTTAATCGAACCATATCGTTTGCGCAAGGAATAAAAAATATATATTTAAATTAATTAAACAGGAACTTAATTAATGTTGTTTAAGCGCACCGGCGTGCCTCCCTGTCCTAATGTTTTCTTTTATTCGTATCCTTTTCATGTATTTATAATTATGTTTACACTTGTTATCTGTCATAAGATACATGCTTGACGAAAAATAGAAAATAAATAATAAAATAAAATAAAATAGTAGCGCAGAATTTGCTCCCTTGAATTGGTCTTGAAATAAACCCTACCGTCCTCTGGACAGAATTGGTTTGTTACCTCTTTTGGTTTTTTTGTTTTTTTATTTATTTTATTTATTTTTATTAACTTTAATCTGAGGCTTCCTCACGGCTTCCCATCCAAGTACAGGTAGTCCTATAATTTACAACAGAATATATATATTCTGTATATTCTGCTGTAAATTATAGGACTACCTGTACTTGGATGGGAGGCCGTGAGGAAGCCTCAGATTAAAGTTATAATATATATATATATACACACATACATACATACATACATATATATACTGACAGCAAACAGCACTCACTAGCACTGATGATGTTACCTAGTTAGGGTAATGAAAGGTCTGCAAGAAAACAAGTAAACTCAGAGAGCAAGAAGGACATCTCATTTCAACCCTGAGTTACAAATATTTTCCTTTATTGATTACAACGATTCATTTAGTGACCACCGTTCAAAGTTACGTCACTGGAAAAAGCGGCTTATGACCATTTTTCACACGGCCATTGTAATGTTACCTGAATTACATCCGGATGTTTGACAATTAACTCACATTTATGACACTTCTGGTGTCCCAGAGTTACGCGATCACCTTTTGTGACCTGACAAGCAAAGTCAACGGGGAAACCGGATTCAATTAACAACCGTGTTCCTAATTTAACAACTGCAGTGATTCACTTAACAAATGTGGCAAAACTCACTTCATAAATTTCCCACTTAACAACATAAATTTTGGACTCAGTTGTGGTCGTAAGTTGAGGACTACCTGTATTTGCTAGGTCCTGTCTTGTTTAGGTTTTTATTTTTTTTCAGTCTAAATGTTAACACCAGAGATAAAACAAATTTCAGAATGCAGGAATGGCACTGTGTATCATTTTAAGATTTAATATAAGTGTGAAAATAGCATGCAGTATGTAGGTTGGAGAAAAACAGCTTTTGTATTTCTTAGGCCAATCCTGCAGGAGCATCTAGAATGGAACATTGAATATGATTTCTATCTGCAAAAATATTTATTTTGTTTGCTGAAGCAGTACCTACAAGCATAGCTGTCTAATATAAGTCATAATGATGTCATTGCACAAATGATGTACAGGTAGTACTAATTCTCAATCAGCCCTCATTGTTTTGATAGGTGAGCAATAAGCCTCTTATTAGTGTTCCAGGTAAGTGAGGTCTTACACGTGAAAGCTTTATGATCTTTTCTGTTAACCAAGATGATTTTCACAGATGTCCCACAGAAAGTTAATGTTGATTCTCAAATGCAGATTATTCTATTGTGCAGAGTTTACTCTAGAGAACATCTAACTCCTTAGTAAATTTCTTATACAGTAGTTAATTAAGTAATTGTATCATTTTGTTAAAAAATTGTTCTCCTTAGCCATCAGCTCTTGAAGTCCCCAACGCAACTTATTTAACAACAATTTCAGAACCCCAAAGTCTTTATATTCATGTATACATGTATGAGAAAACATTGCTCATATCACTACCTGCTTTTCTGTTGCTGTTCTATTTTTCTTTGTTCTGTTTTATTAAATATGTAATGATGTGTGTGTGTGTGTGTGTGTGTGTGTGTGTGTATAGTATACACACACACACACACATAGATATATATTGGTAGCAGTTAAAGCATGAGACAAGAAACAGAAACTGTGAGTTGTAGTTCTACCTTAGGCACAAAGACAGCTGGGTGATCTTGTACCAGCCCTAGGAAGGCGGTCAATCACTTCTGAAAACCTTGCCAGAAAAAATTGTCCAGGCATTGTCCAAAAGTCAGACATGATTGAACAAGAGAATATATATTCTGGGAGCTAAAATACTGTGCAGAAATCTTAAACTCCCAGACCTCTGGTAGAGGACTGAGAATGAGGAAGACAATACCACCCATAGGGGTAAGAAGGGATAAACATACAAACACACACACACACATCAGTATATAGACATGTATATGTACAGGTATACATGTATGAAAAACCATTATTGCTCATATCACATATATATGTATATATACAGTATATATACAATATAGATTAGGTAGGTAGGTAGGTAGATATATAGAGAGAGATAGAGAGATGATAGATAGATAGATAGATAGATAGATAGATAGATAGATAGATAGAATATGTATAAACTTTATATATAAACTTTATCATCAGCATGATCCTATATTAAGTTCCATAGAGTTCAATAGGCATAGTGCCCATTAATTTAGGATTTCACTAGATATCTTGGATTTATCACTTATGCAGTACAAATAGTCTAGATAAATCATACCTCATCATTTCAAACCAGCTTTAGCTACCATTCCCTGGTTCTGCTTGTTAGTTGAAGTGATGTTTCAGTGCCTTCATGAATGATCATGGATAGTTATTTTATATTTTTGGAACTTGATAAAAGAGGTGTGCATATGCATTCACATGATGGTGAGTCAGATGTTCTGGGAAACTCTGGGAAACTCTTGGGTGCCCTACTATCAGAACCTTGTATCCATTCTTCATGTAAAATGTGTTTGTTATGAATCAAGGACTGGGGTACAATTCTTGTTAAGGTGTCAGCTAATCTGGGGAAAAAAGACACAATATTATCTTTTGGAGGAGTTTTTGTCTCATTTAGAAGTATGTTACCACTCTTTAAGAAAAAAAAAGGTGGGGGTTCCAAACAGCTGTGGCTCAGAGTTTGCGGTGGCGCAGTGGCTAAGACACTGAGCTTGTCGATCGAAAGGTCGGCAGTTCAGCAGTTCGAATCCCTAGTGCCACGTACCACGGTGAGCTCCCGTTACTTGTCCCAGCTTCTGCCAACCTAGCAATTCGAAAGCACATAAAAAATGCAAGTAGAAAAATAGGGACCACCTTTGGTGGGAAGGAAACAGCGTTCTGTGCGCCTTTAGCGTTTAGTCATGCTGGCCACATGACCACGGAGACGTCTTCGGACCGCGCTGGCTCTGGCTTTGAAACAGAGATGAGCGCCGCCCCCTAGAGTTGGGAATGACTAGCACATATGTGCGAGGGGAACCTTTACTTTAAACAGCTGTACAAAGTACAACAAGAAAATAATTCAAAATCAGTTTTGATATATTTTTGTCTTTCATTTAATTACCCATCAAAGAGAATTCTGCAATGGAGAAAAAGCCAACCAACCGTTTTTGTTTTGTTTTGTTTTAAATGAAGCTGCCATTTGTTCTATAAAGGCTGATAAAACCCACTTATTAAAGCAGTCCAACCTTAAGACATTTGATTAAGCACTCTGAGACTTTATTCCAGGCTCTTAGCTGTTTGACGGCCAGGTTCTTAGCCATTCTTCACCTGACTTCCTTCTCATATTTCACTAAAGCTGCCCTTAGTGTAAGAATCTGGCACAGAGGAAAAACTACCCACATCCTTTGCTTTTATTCTAACGACATACAGGAAAATGACAGCTTTGCATTCTGGTGCATGTACGCACCTGCACACACATAACCTCCTCTACGGGGTGGGTGGGAGGGGAGAACTATTTCCTGTGCTAACTGATTAGAATCATACAATCATAGGAATTGAAGGGACCTTAGAGGTTTTCTAATCCAGTGGCCATCAACCTTTTGGGCACCAGGAACCGGTTTCATGGAGAGAGGTTTTTCCACGAACCGGAGGGGGCATGATTTTATGTGCTGCCTGCATCCGGTGGATGGGACTTCGCTTGTTTCTAAGGCCCGGTTTCTGGCATGCAGCGGATCAGTGCCAGTCCACAGACCAGGGACTGGGGGACCCCTATTCTAATCCAACTCTCTGCTCAAGGCAGGAGACCTCATACCATCTCTGACAAATGGATGGAGCACCCACAACTCCAGGGGGCAAGCTGTTCCATTGATTAATTGTTCTGTCAGGAAATTTCTCCTCACATCCAGGTTCGATTTCTCTTTAACAAGCTTCCACTTGTTGCGTCTTATGAATGTGTAGTTGACATTTGGGCTTTGTTACACAATTCCAATGCCAGCTTGACTTTTTGACACCCTCCTGGTGAACTGGGTGCTTATTTTACATTATAGGAAGCAGTGTTCACAAAATAGGTCAAAGCTAGAAAAATAGTAGACGTCGTGTTGTGATACAGGGCCTGCCTGTTTTGTATGAGTATACAGCATGCATATTATTTATTTTATTTATTTTATTTATTTTTAATTTGATTTATATGCCGCCCTTCTCCGGAGACTCAGGGCGGCTTACAACGCGTTAAGCAATAGCCTTCATTCTTTTGTATATTTTATACAAAGTCAGCTTATTGCCCCCACAAACTGGGTCCTCATTTCACCTACCTTAGAAAGGATGGAAGGCTGAGTCAACCTTGAGCCTTGGAG